CCCCCCCCCCCCCCCCTCCCCACAAATAATGACCACTCCCTAAGCTCAAATAGAAGTATAAATAGTATAACAAGACTAATAATTGCAATAAACAAACGTATGCCATAAGCATTAACAGTAAGATAAGAAATACAACAATTATACAGACCGATAGCTGCTCGATATACTTCTAAACTAACCCCCATCGAATTCTAATTTGTAAAAAGATATATAAATGTTCACCTCGATCATGCTTCTCACCTGGAATACTTATAGACATAACAAACATAAAGCAATAGAGAAAAAAAAAAGATTATATAGTATGATGTTAGTTTAAATTAAGGAACAAAATATATTAGATATCGTAAGCGTGGGGACTAGCGTGTTACCGATAAAGAATCAATCATTTCTCTCGTTGAACGGCCAAAATGTCATCGGGGCAACGAACCACATGAATCGAATCGTCTTCTAGTTTGACAAAAATGTTGTCGTCGCTCGCACACGTCTGTTGAACATGTCCAGCCATGCGAGCTTTTCGAAGAAGATCCAAATTGAAGGAAGTTAGATCTTCATTGACATAAAAACCTTTCTTGCCCTTTAGCTTGCTGCGATTCTTAACGACCCTTTCCTTGGCACGATAACTTGTGAATTTAACAATCATTTGGCGAGGAAAAAGACCTTGTCTTCCAACTCTATCGACGCGATCAATATCACAGTCATTAACAGTGACACTGGGTTCGGTTTCGAAAAATTTGAAACCGCTGCAAAACAATCTTCTGTACGGATCTCTTCAATGCCAGATATTCTAACATTATACTCTTTAGAGTATTGTTCATGTGCATGTAGCGAAAGGGTTGTATTCTGTTTCTTTATGTTTAATAGTTCAACACGAGAGCGAGAATTTTCAGCCTTAATGGCTGCAAGATCATCTTTGAGCGGTTTTACAATAGCTCTAATATTACATACATAACAAATACAATTATATACCTATTTAGACAAAAAATTAACTACTACTTTAAGTCGAGATTAAGGTCGAGGAAGATAGCTTTTTACAGAACGAATTATACGATACCGAATTGCGTATCTCTTCAGGTATCTGATTCCATAGTTTAGCCCCACTATATTGGAAGCTTTTTTTTAAGGATTCCGTTTTTGGTATTGGAATATAAAACCTTGTTGAAGAACCTCTCAGATTATGGTCATGAATGGTATTCAGATTTTGGAAAGCTTCGCATAGTCGTTGGGGGGGCTAAACCATTAACTGTCTTGTATGTTACATGAGCCTGGCTTTCATTTGTGCCCTACGCTCTTCAAGTGTTACCCAGCCCAGAGATTTTCGTGCCAAAATAGACTGACCATGTTCATTTTTTAAGTTCATGATCAACCTAGCCGCTCTGTTTTGGAATTTCTGTAGACGTTCGCTTAGGCCTTTATCAAGTATATCCCATACTTCACAGCAATAATCAAAATAAGGTTGGATTAAGGCATTATAAACTTTTATCACAATGTCTTGTTCGACATACTCCCTCATTTTCCTAATAGCCCCAATACTTGATGATATTTTACTGCTAATATGGTTACCGAACTCAAGTTTTCGTCTAATGCAACTCCAAGAGCTTTGGTATTCTTAACTTTTTTAATCAATTGATTATTTATTTTAACTCCTTGATGGGTATCAATATTACTTATTTTATGTCGTGTTCCAATTAAAACATACTCGGTTTTCGCTATATTTAGACTTAGTTTATCTGCACAAAGCCATTTCTGAACATTCCTCATGTCTACGCTCGCCCTCTCTTCCGCCTCACCAATTGTTCTGCCTACTGCCGTTAAGTTCAGGGGCGTAGGAAGCTTAGAAAAGTTGGGGGGGCCAGGCTTTGAGGGGCACTTTAAAAAAAAAAAGGGCATCTCAAAAAAATTTTTTGGCGACCTCCCCCCCCCCCGTCGCCAAAAAAATTTCGGTCAGTGTACCATTTTAGGGGCAAAAAATTTTTCCGGACATACCATATTTTTCCTTAAATACTAAAAATTTTTTCCGGAAAAACAAATATATGATATTTTTATCGGAAACTAAAACATTTTTCGGGAAAAAACCTACATTACAGTTTTCAAAAGTTTCGTTTGGACAAAAACTGCGAATTTTATGAAAATTTTTCAGGCACAAAAAGGGCACTTTGTTCCTGTAAAAAGGGCACTTGCCAAAACTTGGGGGGGGGGGCATGGCCCCCCTGGCCCCCCCGGTTCCTACGCCCCTGGTTAAGTTAGTATCATCAGCAAACATTCTTGGAGTTGTGCGTTCTAGGCAGCTTGGCAAATCATTTATATACATAATAAATAAGAGAGGGCCGAGTATACTCCCCTGAGGAATGCCACAAATGATTTCATTCTCCACCGAGAGTATACTGGCCAATTTACAACTTTGAGTTCGGTGCGTCAAATAGCAACGTAAAAGATTTAATACTTTCCTTTGGAAACCATACATTTCAAACTTACTTAACAGTATTTCGTGGTCGACTGTATCGAATGCTTTTTTTAGGTCAAGAAAAACAACTAAGTTATACAGCCCACGGTCCATGTTGGTATACCATTCGTTCGTACAATCCAATAATGTAGTAGTTGTGGACTGATAAGGTCTGAAACCAAATTGGTGTTTTGAGAAAAGATTATTCTGGTTAAGATACTCATACATTTGATCATACATAATTCTTTCTATAAGTTTACTTACTACAGGAAGGATTGATATCGGTCTATAGTTGTCCAACATGGACCGCTGACCTTTCTTAAACAATGGAATAACCCTTGTAGCTTTCCAATCAGAAGGAAATTGATCCGAGTCAATTGACATATTAAAAATCTCAGTAAGAGAAGGTGCAATAACTGGAGCCGATACTTGTAGAATTTTAGCTGAAATTTTATCCATTACAGTCGCTTTGTTGGTAGACAAATTAACTAGAAGAGTGTAAACCAATGTCACACTCACTGGTCGAAATGAGAAACTGTTCTTTGTCTTAGATTTTTGTTGAGTAATAAAATCTCGAAAACTAACGTCATTGTCATTTGGAATAGACTCAGCAAGCTTTGGGCCAATATTACTAAAATGATCATTAAAAATGTCGACTAATTCGTCGGTCGATGTAACAGTTTTACCTGGAAGTTTAATTTCATTAATCGTAGTCTGTTTTCTGTTTCGACCTAATATATCGTTTATTGTTCTCCAAGCATATTTAGGATTCTGTTTATTATTTGTGAATTTGTTTGCATAATAATCTCTTTTAGCACTGCGCAAAGCAGTGTTGGCAACATTTCTAGATGACTTATATAGTCTCCAGTCTTCTTCTTTATTTGTCTAAGACTACTATTTAATGCAATACAAAGAAAGGGAAATCACAGAGCAACGAAGCATTTCATCGTCTTTGATATTAACTATATATGCTTTGATTGACATGTTTACGCTAAGCGAGTACATTTCTTTCGGCCAGGGGTTTTCCCCGAGATTAATTCGTACATTCTATAAAACGAAACTTTATATAACAGTTTAAGGTAAACAAACCAATGAGAATTATGTCTGTAGTATGCCTAACTCTGAATTTTCTAATTTCTTTGAGACATTTTATTTACCGGAGGTAAACAAAGCGAACAGAGCGAAATTCGTATGTCACAATCAGGACTCATGGCATTGAGGCGCGCAGAATTCGAACACACTGGCATTGAATGACTATCCTTGAAGCCAAACTGTACTCAAACAATTTTTTTCGAGTGCAAAACCAAAGAATAATGATGAAAAACATATATTTACATCATGGGTTTTCAACTTGGGGGACACGTCCCCGAGAGGGGACATTTGGCAAATTCCTAGGGGACACAAACTGGTCTAGGACTGAGAAAACAATAGTTGAATACAATAGTTGAATACAATAGTTTGTACTATAAAGATGTTTGCTTGACTTTCTATCTATTATTTAAAATTTAAATAATTTACTATTTTACTAACTATTTCGAAATTCGTGTTTTTGATAGACTTCAGTGGGCAATTTCTGTTCAGGGGACGTGGTAATTCAATCATGTGAAATCGGGGACACATGAGAAAACCAGTTGAAAACCGTTGATTTACATAATCAGGCTTCATTCAGTGTAGTGTAAGGTGGTTTTATTTGTTAATATGAACAATTAGGTTTACCGATAAAGTATGCTCGATTTCGACACATTTTCAAATTTTACAAAGTTTGCGCGCTTGTCATTTTTGTCAAATGGTATTAGCAGAAAGATATTAATGGCGATTTGTGTTGACTAATGTTAGTAGTTTATAAAAAAGTTAAAGTCATGTGCCAATCAAGTGCCACGATTTTGAAATAAGCTTTCAAAGTTGATATATTTTGAGACGATATCCGTTATCCGTTCAGGTGTCGTAAAAGACGAGGACCAGGTTTGTTTGGTTGAATATTATTGTGTAAAAAACTATTACAAAGCGTTGTGTTTCGAGTTTTTCTAAAACTATATAAAAGTGCGCCAAAACAACTGTCATGTGACCGAGGCACAGCTAACCCAAAACTAGCCTAGAAATATGAATGTTAATGATCTACTTTAAAGATAAAGATAGGTTTAAAGTTAGTAATCTAATCTAGCATTATTCAACATCCTCCGGGGCCCGGGGAAAGTTCTTCGACCCATTTTGAAATTTTGTTTCTTGCTCTTAGAGCCGCCGCTCTCTTTGGTCGTGATGAATTGTTTTCAGCAATTGTTCGCGTGTCGGTTTCTTTCGCGCCATTCGATTGTTTCTGTTGTTCTTTGCTAATTTCTGCGGAGATCTCTAACGGGTATAATTTGGTGATTGGTCTGTTCGTGCGACCATTTTTTGTGCGGATGTTTGCGGCTCGCACTAATCCATCGTTTCCTCGAATAAGTTCTTCTATGATTGCTAATTTCCATGTGTTTCTGGGTTTATCATCGTGGACCATAACTAGTTCATCTTCCTTTATCGTTTGTTCGTTGTTCCCACTGCTTCTATGAAATTCGCGAAGCGATGTCAAATATTCGTGTCGCCAACGAGACCCAAATCTTTGTAAAACTGCTGCTTGTAGGTTGTTTCTTCTTCTTAAGGCCGAATCATCTCCGTAGTTGGGGTCCTCTAATTCATCTCCGTTATCTGGGTAAGGTAAGGAAGTAATTCTTCTTCCGTATAAGAGGTGGGAAGGTGTGAGTGGCTCATCGTCTTGGACGTCGCTGGAAAGATAGGTTAGGGGTCGATCGTTAAGAATTGCTTCTATTTCAACTACGATTGTTTGTAGTTCGGAGACGGTTACGAAGGATCTTCCGAGTATTTTCTTGAGGGATTTCTTGGTAAGTCCAATAAGTCGCTCCCAGAAACCACCAAACCAAGGAGCTCTTTTGGGTATAAACTGCCAAATGACACCTCGATTGGAGAATGTTTCCTTTAGGCTCGGTGACTGGAATAGTTCCTTGAGTTCATCTGCACTAGCTGTGAATGTTGAGGCGTTATCCGATACCATACGATTCGGTAAAGATTTGCGACTCGCAAACCGGCGGAAAGCTTGGAGAAAACTTCTTTCTGTCAAGTCTGCGACAACTTCCAAGTGGAGGGCTCTCGTCGTTGCACAGGTAAATAGGCAAATATAGTTTTTGATTTCACCGTTATTTGATCTTACGTACAAGGGGCCCGTGTAGTCGACTCCGGTGACAGAAAAGGGAACCGTCTGCTGCATCCTAATCTTTGGTAGCGGGGCTGAATCGGGGGCTTTATACGGTATTCCATCAACCTTTTTGCAGGTTACACACTTTCGTAGTAATTTCTTAACGTACTGACGCATTGATACAATCCAAAAGTTTTGGCGAAGCGCGGTGACTGTCGAGGCTGTACTAGAGTGAAGCTGCTTGGTATGGGTGTCGTAGACGACGAGGGCGGTAAACGGATGGTTTGGTGGTAGAAGGTAAGGGAACCTCGCTTGTTCTGTAAGGGGTGCATTATGGAGCCTGCCACCGCAGCGAATGAAACCTTTCTCGTCGATAAACAAACGCAGTTGTCTCACTAGTGGTAAACGGTTCTTCGATTTAGACTGAATGTTCTCAATTTCCTTACTGTACGTCAAGCTTTGTGAATTCAGGATCCATCGACATCGTGACTCGCGTTTCTCTGCAACGGTTGGAGATCCTTTGTCCCTTTGTTGTTTCATGATAATTTTCACAAATCTCAGAACGTAGGCGGTAACGCTGAGCAGCTTGTTGAGTGTGCTATATCTGGAAATATCGATGACTTGATGTATACCTGGAACAGTCGTTAATGGTGGTGGTTCTTCGGGTACCGGTACCACTTCTTCGTTGACAGGGTCGATGTCGTTAATGTGGAGAACCTTTGCCGCGTTCCAAGATGGCCAACGTGATTTACAAAGTAGCCATTCTGGGCCATCTTTCCAGAGGTTTGAAGATTTAAGTTGTTTTGAGTTGATGCCACGAGTAAGTAAATCAGCAGGATTGGATTTAGTGGGGCAATAGTTCCAGTGTGTTGCGGGAACGAGTTGTTTAATTTCTTGAACACGATTCGCAACAAACTGTTTCAGTGTTTTGTCGCTGTTTAACCAATGTAGAACGATTTCGCTGTCTGACCACATATAGATTTCTAAATTGGAATACCTTTGTTCCAAGGCTTGCTTGACAAAACTTGCTAACCGAGCTGCAGTTAATGCGGCCATAAGTTCCAACTGTGGTAGAGTTAGCTGTTTAAGGGGTGCCACTCGTGACTTCGAAATAACTAGCGATGTCTGATTTCCATTGCACAGGTAAGCGACTGCGCCATATGCTTTGATACTTGCATCAGCGAATACGTGTAATTGAGTGTTCTCTGAATTCGAGTTCTGGTATTGGAAGTAAGTTCTTGGCAATGTAATTTGAGTAGCTTTTTCAATCTCTTTGGCGATAGCATTCCAAGCTGTACTAAGTTCGACTGACAGTGGTTCATCCCATTCTAGGTGTTGCTTCCATAACTCTTGCATGAATATTTTTGCCTTGATGGTGACTGGGGAAATCAGTCCAAGAGGGTCATAGGTTTTGGAAGCCTGACGTAATACTTCACGTTTGGTATAGGTACTTTCTGGAGGGGGCTCGTTAGTTTTGGACTTAAACTCAGGGTGTCAGTTGAGGGAGTCCATTTCAGGCCAAGGAGGTTAACGACTTCATTCTTGTCTGCTACGTTGTCACTGGTTGCCTGTGTGTGCAGAACCTTGCTGTTTGAAGCCCACGAGCGTAGATTAAAGTTACCTTCGGTCATTATGGATCTTGCTTCATTGTAGTATTGAAGGGTTTCTTCTTCAGTGTCACGGCCAGAAATAAAGTTATCAACATACAAATCATTCTTGATATCTTTAGCTATTTGTGAGTTGTGGTCGTTCAAGTGTGAATGTAGTGTTGCGTTGAGCATAAATGGAGAACTTGTGGAACCAAACAATACGACTTTAAATCGGTAGATCTGGAATGCACTTTCTGGGTCGGTTGGATTAGATAACCAGAGAAATCTTGTGAAGTCTCTGTCACTTTCGTTTAGGCCAACATGTAGGAATGCTTTCTCGATATCTGTTGAGAATCCATAAGGATATGTGCAAAATCGTAGAAGAATGCCACAAAGGTCCGACCTCAAGACAATCATTTAGTGATGGCAAATCGGGATGTTGACGGCAACTGCAATCAAAGACAATCCGGATAGGGGTCGTAGACGATTCTTTCTTTACCGGATGGTGAGGAATATAATGAGTTTTGTCTGAGTGCTGAGTTGTTTGAACTTTCGCTATAAATCCACGACTTTCATACTCGGTGATGATATTACTATATGTCTGGAGT